TACATTGCCTCTAGTGTTAGTTTTATCTGCAATGTATTTGAAGAAGCCCTTTCTGTTGTCCTTGACCTTTCTTGCAAGGTTTAATTCCAAGGAGGTCTTAGCTTTCCTAGTTACCTCCTTACATCCTCTGACAGCAGACCTATATTCCTCTCAAGTGGCCTGCCCCTCCTTCCATGATATGTGCACTCTCTTTTTCCACTTGAGTTTGCCCAGCAGTTCCCCATTTAACCATGCAGGTCTCTTGGTACCCTTTCTTGACCTCCTACCTGTTGGAATGCAGCAGTCTTGAGCTCGAAAGAAGAGGTCCTTGAAGGCTAGCCAACTATCTTGGGCCCTTTTACCTTCTAGTACTCTGTCCCATGGGATTTCTCCTAGCAATTGTTTGAAAAGATCAAAGTTGGCCCTACTGAAGTCCAGGGTTCTAGTTCTGCTAGGAAAACAAAGTTTTTCACTGGTGAATGAGAATTTAGACCTCATGACCAGGTATAATATCAAGATTTCTGTTAGACTCTTGTTTTATTCAGTTATAATTATCTAAAGTAGAATGCAGTTCTTTTAACTTAGCCAAGTAACTAAAAAGGAAACTCCAGCAGAAAGTATTCTTAATATTGATCGGGTAAGTCTTTGCTGGAGTTGCTTAGAGTTTTTCTTTCCTAATAATTTTTTTTTTATTGTACTTTTACTGTATGGTTCTTTGTACAGTGTAGTTCTTAAATATGAAAATAGCACTATCTGATAATGTAATTATAATAAATAGTATGATATTTTCTAGCGTAGTCTTAAACTGTGTTTGCATTATAGTAAATGAGGTGTACAGCATTTACGAGTGGAAAATACACTAGAAAGATCACACCTATTTTCATTATTTTGGCTTCTTAGTTTAAAGTATTTAATCATATTTTGGCCTCATTTACAAAGTCTCATGACAGTATTTTTACTTTTCAGGAGATTTCTGTGTTACAGGGTTTCTGCCAGAAAGGTGGGATTGTCATGTAGATGTTGTTCTTGAATTTCTTCTAGTTTTCTTTTTCCTACCCAGTTCCTGTATTTTTGAATTCTAATTTCTTGTAAAGTAATTTAGATTTTCACGAAATTACAACAGAAGTCAACCTTATGCAGGGCACAGGCCCTTTTTAACAGGGATATAAACGTTGTGATTTATTTTGCTGCTTTAATTTTACTTGCTTTATCCCTGCAGGTTTTAACATATTTGCTTCACAGAAAGAAAGCTCATAGAAACTTATCTTGCAGTGTCAGCTAAAAGTACTCTGTTTTTTCTGTATCTTGCTGCCTTTGTATTCAGATAAGCCTTATTAGTTCAGAGACATTTGGTTTGTGTGGATTAATAAAATTCAGGAAAGGAATTTTCAAATGAATCTTGAAAGCAAATCAGAGTACGAATCAGCCTTACTTAGATGCAGAGAATGTTCTGAAAAGAAACATTACCTTATGTTGATGATAATCAGATGTATATTGTCTTCCAGCTTATTACAGAGCCAATCTCAGCATTTTGCAGTTAGTGTTCTATAAAAAGAATATTACAAAACTTGATGATCTTGTTTTCACAAACAAAGCAATAAGAACACCCTAGTGTCTCAATGCCATCCAGTGAGATGTTGCTTTGTTGGTGGGATAAGAGGTTATTGGGCAGCTGTGGAAATGCAGAATAGACTAAGGCTGTACTCCACTATGACATCTGCATATGAATTTGTGTCAATTAAGTTGCAGGAGGAATTTTAAAAACAAACAAAAATAGAGAAAAATCTGCCCCTAGCCTATTTAGATTCCATGATGCTAAAAATAACAGTAAAATATATATCTTCAGTCTCATCTATTCCGGATTTTTTCCTTACAAGTCTATTTTTTATTTAATAATTTGAGTCAGCTAATTTCATTAATAATAATTGGAATAAATTATTATGCAAAAAAAGAGGTAATTCTGTTTCCTTTAAAATGACAACCAAAATGAACTTTCTGGGACATAAGCCAGAACATAAACATTTCACGGAACAGAAATAGTCTTAGATACGTCTATAGGATGAGTGCAGAAAGCCACAAGTCGCCATACCTATCTCATGAGCTGCTTTGCTTCAGGTCAGCTCCACTTCGAGGTTATGTGCAATGCTTTTGCACAGGCTTGCTAGCACACCAACACAGTGAAGCTTCCAGTCAAAAGGTAGTGCAAAACCAGCTCTGAGATGGGGCAGACCCAGCTCGCTACTGTTTGCCCCCATACATGCGTATCTAAGACCTGACCCTAAAATTTAGGTAGGAATTGCTAGGTGACTAAGCAGTATGCTGACAGCTGAAAATTCAGATGTCTTTCAAATGCGAAGTGAAATACATCAGAAGGAATAATTTGAACCATTCATGCACATTAGTAGGTTCTGAACTAACAGGAAAAAGAACATAGGTACCAATGTGAGCAGCTGAAAGAAAATTTCTGTTCAACATCCATCATTAATCAAAAACCTATGTGAAGATGCATAAAGAACATGAAGGAAAATAAGATATTCAACAGACAGAAGACCATATTTAACAGAGTCAGCAAGAAAGCAGGGTACTTAATACTCTGTAGTGTTTGCTCAACACTGTAATGAAGATAGCATACGTTTACATTATTTTTCCATGTTTCCACGCTTTAAGGCTGAGAAATTAGACCAGCTAAGCTTAAAAGTAGTTGTGTGGACTACTACGTTGTGTGGACTACTGATCTTTTTTTATTGTTGTTTAATTCTCCCTGTTAGAAATATCGTTCACTCAAAGTATGATAAATTAATGATTGCTTTTTTCTGCTGCACAGAACCTGAAGCGCGTGGCAGAGACATGGATGGATGAGTTTGCAGAGTACATTTACCAGCGACGGCCTGAGTACAGACATCTCTCAACTGGTGATATCTCTGCCCAGAAGGAACTTCGCAAACACCTTAAATGTAAAGATTTCAAGTGGTTCATGGCTGCAGTGGCTTGGGATGTCCCCAAATATTACCCTCCTGTGGAGCCTCCACCTGCTGCCTGGGGGGAGGTGAGAAATACACAAATTAGATCAAATTTAAATAAGTCTAACATTTTACATTACAGGAAATGAAAATTATGAAATTAGATTTAGCTCCTATGATAAGTAGTGTTATTAAGGGAGTTCACAGTGATTGGAACAATTCCTGGACTAGCCATTAAAACGAGAAGCTGTCATGCCTTAAAACTATTACTGGCCCTTTTATAATTCATTACAATTTTGTGTGTACAGGCCATAAGATACTTGCATATGTACGTTATGCACAGTGAGGACAAGAATGCAGAAAAAAGTATGTAGCACTCATTATTGCATGTCACAAAATTATTTTAGATGCTGGAAATCACTTTAGTAAAAAGAAGATCTGAAGTCAACGCTTTTTTTTTGCATATGCACTTCCTCCTGTTCTTACAAGGATAGTTGTACATAGGTGGAGTTAGGTTTGCTCTGTTTTGCTCACACGTACAAGTGTGACAAGAGCAGTCTGGACACTTCTCTTTTAAAAAGACTGGGTTTGCTCAGCTTGTGGTCTGCATTGTGTAGGTGCTGTCATGACCAAGTACCAGTAGCAGACAAATACAATTTCTGATTTGGGGGATGAGGGGAGGGAGGGTCCACCAAAGAGGAGCCAATATCCAAGCATCATCCCAGATGAGGGGGTGAGCAAAGAGCCTGCTGCAACTCTCCACCCATGATCAAACCCGTTCTGCGTTCGGACCGCTCTGAAGAGCAGAGCTGTAGCACACCGCGCTTTGACAGCTTGTTTTGTGTGGAAGAAATGAAAACACAAAGAGTGCAGGGACAGGAAATTACTTCTGTAGTTGCACTGAAAAATTACAGTGGCCTTTTACCTCTAGGAACTACAGCGGATTCACTCCATAGAAAGGTGGCGTGCAGAGGGCTTTTTGGTCTCAATTCATTAAGATTTATAAAGAAGGCTTTACTCTTTCAGCGTATTGTGCTACTTTTTTAAAAGCCATAGAAATATCTGTACTGTGAGTTCTGGCCTTCTCTGATTTTGCTGCAGATGTTCTTGGGGCTCTCAGACAATTACCTTTTATATTTGAAACCAGAGTATGAAGTTGAAACTTAGACCAAAACTTTTGGTAAGACCTCTCACACCTCTGCATGTCCCCTGTGGTCAAGACTGGACTATGCAGGGGATTTCTAAACATAGGTGCCTCTACTATTCTCCAGAATTTCTTTTTAGAAAAGCAAATTATCTCATTGCTAAATTTAAAAAATAACTTTCTGTGGTATTAGCAGTCTTAATTCTTCTTTGTAAGCTACCAATTACAGACTTTCAAAGGAACTTCTTTTATGGATGTCTTACTGTTTGCTACTTCTTGGCAATAACGAACTCCTTTGTTGTTAACGTTTCTTGTATCTTTGATACTGCTGCCTGTGCTTTAAGGGATTAACGTCTACCAAGAAGTAACGAGTTTGTCAATAGAAGTCAGGCTGGATCGGGGTGCTGTGACTGCTGCTATGATCTTTCTTCATCATCTTCCACATGTACACATGTGCATCCTTGGAGGACTGTGACCATGGGATGTATAATTCCTCTGGCAAGCGGAACAATCCTTAACTCAATCAGAGGGTCTAAGTGGAAAAGATTTTGATTCAGGTATTCATTCTTTTCACAGCGATATTAAGATCGTCTTTGCATAAAGCAAGACTTTTTAAAAGTAAATCAAAGATCACAGCAGTGGTATCAAATCTGTACCTAAAAAGCAGTTACTGAGTTCTTAGGAAAGAATTGAAGACCAAAGGCTTTCTGTTTCCTCTAAAATGTACTTTCTCTAAAATAGTAAGAGAAGTTTCAGCCCTACTACTCTCTTTTTTCCTGAGACTGCCACATTCCTATGAAGTTTTAATTAATTTGTTGGCACTTGCAAGGAACTTGAACATGAAGGTCAATAACTGTCACAATTAGAAGCCAAAAGAGGAAAACAGGCAGTGTGTTGCTGCTTTGTAAGAAACAAGCAGCTCTAGAAACCTTACTGATTATACACACCAAAAGTCTGTGCCAAGACTGACTGTCATTTAGTACCCTATCTGCTTCCACTTGGAAAGACTTTTCATATGCTTGCCTATGCCAGTCTGAGAAAGGATAAACAATGAGGTACTCAGACAATTTTTGGCTCCAGTATTTTGATATCTAGCTAGTAAAAGCATGTAGTGTGAAAGCAGACATCTCATAAAACAGCCTCTGTACAACTCCTTTTTTTTTTTTCCAAACACATTTATTTAAAGTCTGACTTACATTTCTTGACAAAATCTGTTCATGATGGAAACAAAGGAAATTTGTAAAACTAAAACCGATATTCTTCGCTACACTTTCCAGGGCCTTATCTCTTCTGTTTGTTTGTGCCTTTTGTCCTTTGTAGCTGGCAGTGTGTACATTCCCTTGATATTCTGTTCTGCCTTGTAACATCTGAAAGATGTGCAGTAAACGAACGTAACAGCGAATCCAGACAGATTAAGGTTAGCGAGACTGTCAGTTCTGTGCCTGGGTGAGATAACTGTACTCCTTCCTCTCTCACCATAGAAAAAAGGAAAGTTTTCATTTAGGTTTTCTTCTTATCCTTCCAAATATGTTAGAAAGTATGCTACCAGTTGAAAAACAGTAATACCCCTCTCATTCTTTTTTTAAGACATAATAATTTATTGGTAATTGGTGTATTTGAAATCCTGTTGAAGGAAGTTAAAACAATAGCTTCATTAGATGAGATTTGGACACCAAATGTTTACTTTGGAAGTACTCATGAATCTACAAGCTGTGATCCAGCATGGATATATTGTGCGAGTATCACAGCTTCCAACAATACCTTTGAAAACACATTTTACAGTAAATCATATAATGTCAGCCATTGTCATTTATTTTAGTCTTCATGAGTCCTATAGTCAAGGTGATATGAAAACAAATAATTTCTTTTACTCAGTCAAAAGGGAAACAATTAAGCTTGGTTTCATTTGCTGTTACATGAACTTGTTGATGTAATACACAGCAAGTCTCAATCACTGCAGCAATGCTAAGCAGTAGGATCTGAAAATACTCCTTTCTCAGTCCTGAACTCATGGATTTTACAGAATTGTTTTACAGAACTGATATGAAAATGTCACCTATGAAGTTAAGTCAAGTGGCACATTTGAAAAAGGATTAAAGCCTAAGAACTTACTAACTTCTCTTTTGATTACTTTCTTTTTTTAAAATATCATCCTTATACCCCTAACGAGTCAATCTCATCTCACCAAGTGTCACACGTTTGTTGTACGAAAGCGATCTAACCAGCTGTTCCCCACCCTGCACAGACCAAGTGCTGCACAGCTGGGCTGTTCAAATTCTTTCATTGGGATCAGTATCATACTGAATAAGACAGTCCCTCATTTCTTCAGTGAGGTCTTTGGCAGTGGTTAACTTCTTTTAACTTCGACTTTTCCTTTTTATGATTCACTCAAAGGATAAATACTTTTAAAATTACCATGTATCAGCTGAGAGGAAGAGAGGTTCATTTTTCCATATTTGATCTGTAGACATTGATGGCCCTAATGTTATCTGAGAATGTAAGCAGTGCACTAAAACTGGCTTTAAGTGCTGCTCAAATGAAAAAAAGCAACATAAATGAACATTACTAATGTCTTCTAAGAGCTACAGCCACTTTCTTATTTGAGGCATTATATCAGATGTATGGAAAGCATTATATAAATGGATAGCACCACGATGTCTTTCTTGTTGCCCTGTTGCGGCACCATCTCCACAGTCATCGTTCTAACAGATGACCATATTGAACATAAATTTGTCTTTAGATTTCTATGCTTTCCCACTTTTTGCTTTTGGTGCAGGCATTTTCGTGCCATGATGACCACACGAGGTAGCTCGCAAGACCCCTGGGAGTGCCTCTCCCTCTCTGGCTTGCTCCACTCTGCCCCTAGGAAGGCTGAAGTGACAGCTTGGCTCTGATGCAGGCAGGGCAAGGCTGCTAGAGCCAGGACATCACCCACTACCTCAACAGCAAATCTTGCAGGAACTCATTTGTCTGTGAAAAAAGTTGTAGAGTTTTAGAATGATCAAAGAAAATTGGTCTATTTACAACTGCTGGACCTTCTGAAACTTTAATTTCCCTCTGCAATATCTTTTTCAGCCTAAAATACATTTCCATAAAAGAAAGGGGAGAATTCACTTTACTTTAAATTGCAGGAGCGTGGGGAGAGGTTGTCTTGGTTTTTTCTTCATTTAACATGGAGCATGCAAGTGTGTCATTACACAGATCCCACCACAATGTTCAAAAATCTCAAAATTAATCCCAGCAGGCTGTTTATCAATGGCCTGTGACCGTTTGTTTTCCTCAGAAGACTGTAATCTTCTGACAAGATTATCATGGTAATCAACACATCCATTGGTTTTCAGTTTCCATTCCATGCTTGTGTACTAATGACAAATATGATGTTTTTGAGAGTGTGGTGCTAGACCATCTTACTCTGCCTCTCCCATGGGGAGCTTATTAAATCATATAACTGCTTGTCTTCTGCAAAACTCCAACGTTAATTTAGCCAGAGGTCAAGTTACGTGGGAGACCATATATTCTGCAATATGTAAACACTGTTTGGGAACCCCTAATTTTTTATTTATTTATTTTCCTTTCTTGACAGATGTCCAAAAATCTCTTCTTTTCTTTTTTTTTTTCTCCCCCTTTGAATACTTGCTTATCAAATCAACAGATTCAAATGTCAAGAGGTAACACGGTCTTCTTCAAACCTAAGGTCTAGGCTTTCCAGCCTTCTGTCATCCCATGTTCCAGCTGCTATTTTACATCACGTTCCTCTTTCCTCATCATAGTGTCAGCGAGCTAAGCTACTTCTTTTTCAAGGCCTGGCCTACTCTGGAGAAAAATCTTTTCAACATGGGCTGCCTAACTTAGAGAAAACAAGCTGTAGTTTTAACATGTTAACTGCTTTTCATGAAACCCAAGGATTACTGTATCTAGGCTTACCCAGTGATTTCTCCTTACGGCTTGCAACCTCATTTAAAGCACAGAAGTCAGCTGCTACACCAGCAGAAATCCCACTCAGGTGACATCTCTTTGTTCCCAAGCGTTGTTGCAGCACTGAGAAGCCTGTACGTCCTTGCTTGGACACCTCCAGTGTAGAAGAGGGAGAAAAGAGACCCCTTAGAGTTTGGGTTCTCTGTTTTTACGCCTCATCTGCTCTCTATAAGGACTACAGGGCCCATAGTCTTAGTGTCTATGTCCCAACATGTGTTAGGATGGCATTTCAAGAATTAAATATGCATAATGACTTACATTATGTGTCCCATGCTTTATTTGGAATTTCTTTAATTCTCAATCAGCCTTGAAGATCACCGCTAACCATCCTTGTTAGCCCATACAGACTCCTCAAAAGCATGCTTTTTGCATACGCTTATCTGTGTGTTCAAATGACAACATTTAAGCTTGAAGAAGTAAGCATTATAGGTAGCAGCTGTATGCCCTGCCTGCATGGATGATAAAACCTGTCTCCTGTTCATCCCGAGTCTCTACAATTGTACAAATAAGAGTGTTGGAAATGTGAGCGTATTAGGAGTGCAAGCTATTTCTTTGCTAGTTGTAACTCATAAACTTAAAAATGTGAAATCCATTGTGTGAGTGACTGGAGACAAGGCAGTTCAAATGCATATTGATGTAGAAATGAGAAAAAAAGCCTCTCCTCACTGTGCTTCTGCTTTCCTTCCTTCCTCCATGAAAGCATCTTAGGAGATTTGCAGGCCCTGTGGTGCTCGTGCCCAGCAGAACATTCCCCGCGGTTCTGGCAGCAGCACGATGGCTCAGTTCAGTTTCTAGCGACTGCCAAGGCCACACAGAAACGCCAGAAAATAAAAGCACAGACTTGACTGAAACGCCTGTATTACAAAAAGAAAATGAAAAGCAAACCGCAACTCCACTGCAGTTAAAAGGAAGGGTAAAACAAACAAACAAAAAAAAGGATGTGCGAACGCGTAAGCTGCAACAAACCAGAGGGAAAACTACCGCAAGGAAACGTTTCAGGAGCAGAGGGAAGAGGAGAGGAGAGGAAATAAGGAACAGGGGAGACATTCCAGCAGTGAAGGAACTAAATGTAGAATCAGCTCAAACCTTTTCCAGAAATGTAGAGAACAAATTTACTGCATAGTCCAAATGACTGAGAACAGGATAGAGCGATGCCATCAAGACAAAATTATGAATGCCTGTTAATCCAATAAGCATTCATTGGACGTGGAGTATATTCACTGTTATTTTACAATTCTGAATCCCATAAACGTACATCAATTATTAATGGCAGTTGTTAGCTCCATTTTAATTAGCTCACATGTTCTAAGAACAGAACTGATGTATCATTTAATTTTGTATTAGGCCAGTAATCTTTATTTATACAATGTAAATTTAAGCACACTGACAAATGATTGAATACTCTCAAAAAAATTATATTTGTAGTAGTTATTTCACATGAAACTTTAAAAATATAAAATTAAAATCTATTCCCCTCCTTATTCTTTCTTGTCTCTTTTGCTGGGTGATATGAAAATGAAGGCAGGGTTGTTGAGAACTAATTACCTAACATTCTTTTTATCAGTTAACGTGACTTTTGTACCATGGGGCTCAGTGCTGGGTTTCTGCATCTGGTTGCATGTATGAAATGCTAGGGATTTACCTCATCTATAGCGATTTTTATTGTATCAAAATAAAAAAAAAAAACTCCAGAACTGGGCTTCTTCAAGTTTTAGAAGAATACTCCTCTGACCATCAGTGAAGGCTTAAAGTTTCGTTGAGGTAATTGCTCAAACTGATGCTCCTATCATTTGCCCAGTCTGCTCTTTTCTAGGCTAAACAAATGCAGCTCCTAAAACCTTTACTGAAGGTGACATTTTAAAAATTTTCCCCAGTTCCTGTTGCTTTCCCATCTGTCTAAATCTTTCTTAGAACATGGTGAATAGACTCAATTCCAGTCCTCCAGAATCAGGAGAAGAGCGGAGCAGCTCTCCCATGAGCCTTACAAGCACAAGGATTGCCCCTCCTTGCAATGCTTTATGCTATGCTGAGTGTGAGGTATGCAGTATTAAAAGAGTGGCGATCTTTACATTTGTCTAACATAATATGGCAACAATGGTGATTTCTGAAATATTTTCCATGGAAAATTATAAATGTCAACTCGACTGTAACTCTATTCAGCACCTAGCTTTTCTTTTTTTAAAATACAGATTAAAGTAGTTGCCAGAATGTCAAAATATACACCTCTTTTCTGTATATGTATAGAATTTGTACACATCTCCGTGCATGTATGTGCACTTCGATTACTCGGTTTCCATGTATCTTGTTGACAGGGAAAGTTTTTTAAGAAATCCCCTTCATTCTGGAGGTGTCTAAATGATTTTTAAATAGCCCAGCTAAGGTAATCAAGGAGAAACATGCATGTATTTCCAAAGTAAATTTGAGATTTTCCTCTTTTCGGTTGCAGTGGGCAACTCACTCCTTTTCAATCCAGTCTTCTGGAAAAAAACCCACATGGCAGCAGTGATACAGAAGTGGTATGACTGATAAGTCACAGATTAATTATTACTCAGTGGCTTCAGTGTCAAAAATGAGATTTTCCTTTTAAGAGTACCTTACACGGCAGAGTGTTTGCAGAGGCATGCAGACAGCACAAGGAACCTCCATGGGTAATCACAGTTTCAGTACAAATTTGTTAAATACTTTTTAACTTTTTGTGCACTTTGGGCACTAGTGTGTGACCTTCTCTACAACGCTGTTACTGTGTCAGAGGAAGAACAAGTATTGGAACAAGGCGTGCCTGAGTTTGCAAGAAATATTGCTCCGAAGCCTGTGAGAAACTCCTGCAGAAATCATTTCCTTTTAATCCAGTTGATCTCTCTTGCTCTGGTAGGAGGGGAGAAGCAGTCAGACCAAGCTTTGAACTTCTCAGACTTTTTTTCTCTTAGTTTCTTTGTGTGAAAATGTTTCATTCAGACCTACCTTTCATTTGTTAAGCTGAGTATTTCAAACTTTGTTGCTTCTAAAGCTGTTCAAAAAAGAATGGTTTATTCCAGGACGTGGCACTCTACCCTGTAAAAAGTATGTCCCACCACTTTTATGTAACTAATGGCCAGTCTCAAGCCCTTCGGAGCTAAACTCGTAAACCTCTAATGTTGGAAGCTCTATTCCACAGCCTGGTTTAATGTGAAATGTTGTTGCTTGGTTTTGCAGATTCGAAACGTGGCAGCCAATCTTTGTGTGGACAGTAAACACGGAGCCACGGGGACTGAGCTGAGGCTAGACATCTGCGTGAAGGACGGCTCAGAACGGACATGGTCACACGAGCAGGTATTGTAGCAGCGAAAAGAGAAAAGCAGGGTAAAATTTTTGCTTCTCTTGTCCAGTTTCTAAACATTTCTCTGAGGACTTCTCTTTTTCCTACAGCAAAGCAGGATGTAGAAAGAAGTTGTGAATGATTGCTGACCTTAATGGCTTTTACAAAGTGCTCTTCAACATAACCTCAGAAATTCCAACCACCACCTGGGCAGTATAATCTTCTTAATTTCCAAAAGGAATTGCAATGCCTGAAGAGCTTTTGAGTATCTCATTCTTCTACGCTGTGTCATGAAAGTGTGTTGATTTTGGTTCAGTTACCTGAAAATATTTTAAATATAGTACCTGGGCTTGTAAAGTTCTAGTGGTTTTCTACTTCTATGTTTTCAGTTCAATAAGCGGTTATCTTTTAAATTAATATGAGGCATAAGCAAGATAAATGGGTAAAAGCTAGGAAGAAAGAGTTTCACAAAGACAAGGGATGATAAAGACTCAAAAAAAAAGCTTTTCTCTAGGTTCGTTAAGTAGAAAAATATTAGCTCTCAGGAGTGCGGAAAAAAAGAGCTCTGATTTGTACTCATTGTGGCTGTGAGTGCCATAGGAAAGGGACCATGACCCACAGGCTGTGGGTATGGCCAACGTGAGCAAAGAGAATCCGGATGAAAAGTACAACCTAACCGTTTATTAGCAATTTTAGTGAATGTGCCTTTCACAGGGCAAGGTCCCAGACTAGAAAAACTTCCCAGTGCTGAGGAGAAAAATTGACCTGGCAGCCACACACGGCACTTTGTAAAAGCTTAAAAGCTCAGGAGAGAGGAGTTCTGAGGGGTATTTGAAGTGCTGAGGTCAAGAAATCACTCTCTGAGGAAACAGAAATGCAGGGGGAGAGGTGCAAGTGAATAAAATGAAGAAGCTGAAGGATGATCACAATTTAGGTTAAGTGCCAACCTGGGAAAAAGAAAGTTGCTGAAAGAAGCCTTCTTCGCATAGCTACCAAAGATACAGCACAGTGATAGGATGCCAAGACTAGATAGATATAATCAGGTTTTGTTTATGAAAGACATCCAGTAAGTGAAGGAAGTTATATGGTCCAGACTGGATCACCACAGTGATCTCTCTGGCTTTAAAATCTGCAAACCTGAAGAGCTCCAAACCCTCCTTTAGAAGGCAGGGAATCCTGAAGCTGCCAGAGATGAGGAAAAAGAAAGGAGGGAAGAAAAACTGGATGAAAAGGTGAGAGGAGAAACAATTTTAGCAAGGAAAGCAGAAAAAAGGGAGGCTTGAAATATCCTTTGAAGGAGTAAGATCTTGTGAGGAGAGCAAAGGGACGTAAAGGGAGAAAGAGGATGGGGAGGAATGCGTTTCAGTGTACTCTGGTGCTGTGCGCCATTTGGGATCAGACTCGATGCAAAGGTCTGGTTGTGCCAAGTATGAATTCTTTCACCCACTGTGTAAAGAGAGCCGAATGACACACAGAGTCGCGATGTTTGCCTTATTCCAGTTCTGCGCAGAAAAGGGGTGAACGGCGGTAATTCGCAGAGGTAGCACGCTTTTGTAACAGCACAGGGAGTGTTTATACTGTTAAGAGTGTGCAAGTAATACGTTCTTCATAGTCAGTGTCCTTAATTCTGACTGGCCTACGCTTCCATTTAAAGGGATAATACACAAATATTTTACCAGGCATACTCAGAGAGGGGTGGTCCCAGTTGGGTAGAGGGCTTTTTCTCCCCCAGAGGAGTGATTTTACCATGCTAAGTTCAGTGTAAATTCAATCTCGGCTAATTTATCTTAATTTACATTCTGCTTGCTGCCAGTCTTCAAACAGATTACCTTCTTGCTGCCAACCTTCAAATAGATTACCTTCTTGTGTTCCCTTGTCCTTTACGTTCTAAGATACAGTGTTCTTCCTTGTCCGTTTGGAACAGTAAAACACTCTCTTTTGACATCAGTCGGCAGCAAAGCGCTATTTAGACATCAGTCTCATTCTGTACTAATGACGAAAAGTGACTTCATTAAAATAAATAGAGTCAGGCTACCACGAAAGGATTTCAGCCCGCCAGCTCCTCAGAGCGCAGAACCAGAG